TTTCATTATGAACAATAAGATAAAAAAAAAGAAAAAAAAAAAGAAAAATAAAGAGGTCTTTCTGTCATTGTCATACTGGTTGCTTTAGAAATACAAAGGGAAAGATGACAGACGACCTCAGAAGGACCAGAGATTTGTGATATTTGCCCATGATGAAGGTGTATCTATTTTTTTTACTTATTTTGTAGTTGCGAAGCTGACCTTGTTATTTAACCTCATCACCCACCGTTCTGGTCTCTGAAAAGCACTTGGATCTCCTGTGGGCTCTTTCTTCAGATGCTTACTAGCTAGCTCTCTGTGCCTGGTTTTCTGCTGCAAGTGTCCTGGAGGCTGGCCGTTGGCCGTCTGTCTGGTTGGCCAGGAGTCTGCAGAGGGGTTGCAAGCTGGAAGACAGCTGCACAGGAGGAGCTTTGTAACAGAGCTTGGTTCCTGGAGCTCTGGTCTCGAGATGGGAGGGTGTATCCGTCAGTGCCTCCATAGAGCACTCACTGTGGTGCAGATGTATCTGCTCTCTGCTGCCAACTGTAATTAGTCATCAACTGGCAACAACTTTGGTTTTGTGTGCTTTTGGTATCTCGTAGGACTCTCTTTCTAAATTGTTTTCTAACTGTGAGCTCCCCAGTTTACCCTCATTCATTTCTTTTCTGGAAAGCTATGATGCTCTTTATCCTCACCGTTAAGGTAAAGGATGTGCAAGTAATACCCTTTATTACTTTGATATCCCTCCTAGCAAAACACTCTGGTGGTTCTTTTATATCACAGAATTAAGGGTGGCAGCCTCTATTTCCAAAAATGTAGGCACAACAGGACCATCTGTGTTTGCCATCTGCAAGACATTTCCTTCTAGGATCCTGGGGTTGATTGCTGGGCTTCCAGACATTCCTACTGCCTGTCCCCTGGGGTACACAGTAAGGAGAGGACAGGTTTGTAACTGTATCACAGATGTGTGTAAGTCTAAACTCTTGAGCACATCCTGCTGTGTCTCTAGAACACAGTCTGCCTGTGTCTGTTTGAACACTCACCAGCGTCTCTGAGTTGTCTGGCCACTCATCCCTATGCTCCGCTCTACGCAGCCTGCTTTTTGCTTTTAATATTAAGGTTAGTGACCCTGGCAAAGTAGCCAGGCACTGTGGAAAAGAGCCTTGCCTCTTACTAGCCAGCCATTAGATGCTTGGAAATGGTTTTAGTTTCAGGTTTTTGCAGAAGATCAGGAACGGATTGTTTCTATTCATTTTTTTTTTTCCTGCAGAATTGCTATATTTCTGAACATAGCAGTATTTATTGCTTACTTTCCTAACTTCTTTTAATCCTGCAACTGCCATTAGATAAAATAATGAACCGAGTTAGTTGTTAATAAATATAATGTAAATATTTGTTCTCTGCTGCATTCCAATAAAATAATGTTGTTATGGATTATTGGCAGTAAATTACTTTAAGTTATACATTTAAAAGTAAACAAAACCGTATACATGAAAATATCTTTGATCATTTTTCATGAAGCATATTATTATTTTCTTTTATCATTGTTGGTATGAGATCTGAAATCTTAATGCTCATATTTTGATTTTCAGTGTCTCCCTATTTCACTTCTATTGCAAATGCTTTCTACTGAGAAATTACAGTTTTCTACATTCACTGCTTTCCTCCTCTTCCCAGTCTGGTCTGATTCTGATAATATCATTTAAATGTTGTCAATAGTAGTGGTCCACTAAGTGAATTATAATTCTCTTTTTTTGGATTCTGCATTTTAACATTTGGCTGTTGAAATGTAGTTGGGGGGGGAAGGAAGAGCATATAGTTTCAAAGCCTCTTTTTTCCAAATTTGTAGAAGCTATTTGTTAGTCTAAGAGAAAATAAAGGAAAGATGGATGCTCTTTAATTTCTACTGTGCTATTTATCTCAAAAGCAGATTTTCTATTTGATAGAAATACTGTGAGGCATAACTCCCAAGTGTCAACTAGATCCTATATAAAGTATATAAAGAATGAGGACATTTCACATATATATTAATAATTTTTCCACAAAAAAAAACTCAGAAAGTATTTTAGCACATGAATCCCGCCCCAGTAGATGGCAGAGCTTTTCCTCAGCCGTGGTGATCACACAATTTCCTAGCCTACTTTGTTTAACATAGAGTGCGTTTATGAAACAGCCTGTAATAGAACCTTCAGAATATTTCACAGACTTCACCTCTACCCCTCCCCCCACCCCCCAAAAAGAGTGGAGGCATAAGCTTAAATAAATAGCAAGATCTGGAACAGCTTATGATATCACAGGTCTCTAGGACCTTGCTCTTCACACTGTTTAACTTCCATGAGCCTCTAGGAATACATCTCTAGTACACCAGTGCTATCAGAAAGTTGAAACCTCCGAGATGTGTCTTTCATTAGTCCATTTTAGGATTTTTTAGGACACCAAGTGTTTAGGTATGGTGCAAAACTTGAAGCACCAAATGCAAGAAGTTCCTGCTTCCTCTCAGAATATCTGGGTTTAGAATAATGCTTCATGCTCTATATTGCAGCTCTACACAGAAGATATTTATAGGTATTTAAACTTCCCTACCTACTGTTATGTTTCTAAATACATTTCAGGCTTTTAGAGTGCAGAGCCATTGACTTCTGTAGGAGGTGCTGAATGGTCTAGCACTCTAATGACTAAAGATGAACTCTTAGCAACCTAAATGTAGGCACTTCATTTTAAAAAACTTTGGCCTAGGTATGTGAACCCAGAAGAAAGAGTTACGGTAATTCATTGCAAGTTCCCTGGCTCTTGCGACTCCCCAGACTTAGCGTTTATTCATACAAATTGCTCACTGTTGCAGATAAATCACAAAATGTAGCCAATGTAACTCTGCACCTGAGCATTATTTAGTTCTGCTTTGCTAATGTTGGCAGCACTTTGCTTTTCCTCTATATGTTACAGCACCTGGATATTTTGGCTGTGTCTGAATATGCTAGAGGGGTGAACAGGGAGAAAATCTACAAGTTTTTGCCCTCTCTTTCTTTACTCCTAGCTTTCCGAACAGCTGCGATTCCTCAAATAGGTGGGCAGTCTAACTTTCCTGCCAGCTTAAAAGAAACAAAAGGGAGACAATTACCAAGGGAGACAATTTTTCACTGCATGCTTAGGAGAGGATTATCTTCTCAGTAGTTTTGTCTCTAGCGGTTCTCATCTGCTTTGACACCAGGGATAGTTAATTTCCTGTAATGCTGTTTACAGTAATGAGAAATACTGTGTTCTCTCTGTGTTGTTTTATCTCTTTTGACTTTTTTTGTGGTTTCTTTTTTGAGATTTTTGTCTCTTTAAAGGAGTACTTCACCTTGTGGATGTGAGAAATAGATTGAGGTACGTGTGTTGCCCATGATTTTCTCTTAGGTTTGTGTAGGCAGCACAAATGAGTAAAGTTTTAAAACACAGTTGCTTAGGCAAGTAATTTATATGTGGGTTGTTTTTTTTTTTTTTTAGTGCAGTATAAACTAAAAGCAATGTTGAAAATGTTGGTGTTGGCTACTTAGCTGGTTTTTGGTTTGGTTTTTGCTACAATCAGGTAACAGCACTCCCTTTGCCTACATTAAGGATAGATATCTTGCTATTTCACTGCAGCCTTATGTCGTGGGTGTTTATTCTAAGCCAGTCATCTGTAGTCACTGTCATGAGAGAAAGTGATTCATCCCATCTGATGCTAAGTATCTGAGAGGCTTATTATGCAAATGTGTTCTGGAGAGGAGGGTGGTTGATGATGTTCCTGCCCAGCCCAGTGCAGCAGTCTGTAGAGACTCTCTGTACTGGTACAATTGCTTTTAAGGCCACACACAATGAAAAGGGTGTGGAAATTATCCAGGTTAAAAAACAGTAACTGGAAGGATTTTGTTCATCTATATTTCTTTTCTTAAACAATTTAATTTCAGTGATTCATAGGGTCGTTTATAACACAGCAATACCTGTTCAATAAATGGGGTCATATTGGCACAGAAGAAAGAAGTGGTTGGAGGCAGGGACATTCAAAACTGTGTAATGAACTGTCCCCTGAAATAAACGTGTGCACTGAGACTGTCTTGTTTTATTAGATGAGATGAATCCACAATACTTGCTTAACCGTGTGTTAAACAGGACATTAGCAATATCATTACAACTGTAGTGTACACCTCTTGATATTTGATATTGTTTTATTAGACTATAAAGTATCTTGAAGTGAGTTTATCTATGTCAGACAAAGGGGGCAGTTAGAAACTTCTATGTATCTTGCCAAATCCTTCCACTGAGATCCTCACTTCTAGTAGTGCTGTTTGTGCTAGCAGTCTTTCCCAATTTTACCATCTTAGTGAACCATGAGGGTTATATGTGTATGGATAAATATGCTGCCTGAGGAGATGAGCTGTTTCTTTATAATATGTAGTGATTATCCAAGTTCACACCAGGAAGCCAGAAAAAGTGTCCATACAGATCATAATTTTCTCTAGGGTCTTATGTAAATATAAAGAGAGGATGACTCATATAAACTTCACTAGCGTGTCTCACAGGGTTGTTTTTCATTAAATAGGTTAGCTAACAGTTAAACGATCAGAGTCATAATGAGGCAGAGGCAGTATGGTTTGAGAGGTATATAGAAAAGAAACCCAGCCTACTAGAATGCATTAGATATATCATATGGAAATTAAATCTCATGAACTGCATATTCTGTGTACAGTGGTTCATCATAGGACCTCTTATCATGTTGTTGTACCACCCTACTCCAATATGCTTTTGTGACACATCTAGGGAATGTCTTCGTGGTACAGGGTACTTTGCTTTAGATACTGGAGTCAGAAAAATGTGGCTACCACCAAAAAGATACCTTTACATGAAGCAGCAGTGGAAGAGATGAAAAGAGCTATACTGAAACAATGGCAATGAGATAAATCAAAATGAGTTTTATAGTACCTTTTTGTGTAAGTTCTTTCTGGAATATGTTTCACATCTTTTATTTATTTTTATTATCATATATCTTTTTATTTTTGTAGGCTGTGGAAACCAACCTCGCATCAAAGGACAGTCACTGGGTCTATGTAAATGAGGTAAGAAAGTTAAAAGAGACAACATAGCTTGGTACATTCACTCATCATCATCTTTTGTTTCATATGTTTTGACACAGCGAACTGAGCATACGCTTAGCTTTTTACTTTGTGAATGGTACAAGATGCAAAATTTGTGGTGTCGTTGCTCGTCTGTCTCAGTCGAATTGGCATAGGTTGAATATCAAAGGTCAAAATAAAGCTTCCCATATACCTCATAGCATCTGGAACACTTTATTTTTACCTTCATGTTTTTCCTACTTCATTATATATTTAGGAAGCAGAGAATATCTCAAAAGAAACCTCAAATATATGTTTCTGTACCTGCCAGAATCTGTCTTCGCTGCTATGAAAGCCTATGCTCAGGTATCAGGAGAGGAAAGAGAGCTGAGGTTGATTGCAGGCTTAGCCCCTCTGAATATGCATTTACATGATACACAGGTTTTCTCTAGTGCAGAATTGTGTTGGTGTTTTGGCAAAGATCCAGGATAGCATAGATTTAAAATACGGTATTTCCTCTCAGCAGTAAATGTTATCCTGTTCTACTACTATGATTATTTATTTCACCTTAGTACCGCGATGCCCTAATGGAAATCAGCACAGACTTTTATTTAAAAGCAATGGAAAGCTTGAAATGTTGTACTATGTATAATAATTTATAAATTACTGATTGTTCAGGATAAATGGCACTATTTTATATATTTCTGATTTTAATAATGATTTGTTAAAAGATAGTAAAATATCTAAGTTAAAAAGAACCGTGTTCATTGTTTTATATTTATATTATAAATGCATAGACTCTAATTTAATAACCAATTCCTTTGTTAATTTCTCATTACTTTCTTTGCACCTAGCTAATAATTTTGGATACAGTACTTTTAATAGTAACTATAAATTGTATTGTGTGGCACTAGAAAGGCTGTGTAATTAAATAGGGGTTAGGGAAAGCAAGTGAAATCTCTTCTTATAAAGGGTTTATAAATTCTTTCTAGTCCTTGTTACATTTAAGTACCTCCTGATTTTTCAGCTGCAGTAATGACCCACTACAAAATACCAGTAAGATGCCCAGAGAGTCAGTGTTTATATTCACATAAAGATAATACAGTGCATATTTCCCTAAACATTTATAGAGAGACAGTGTTTGTGAATTTTTTATTTCTACTGTTATTGTTCAGATATTAAAACTCACCTCATGAAGCCTGAATCTGTAGCATCACAAATAAAGACTTTCAGCACTCATGCACAAACGTGCACACATACACAAACACATCACACAGGGTGTCAATTCTGCTTTTTTTTGGGGAACTTTTATGTTTTCTCTTTTATGGCTAGAGTCTGGGTAGGGAAGTTATGACAGCAAAATATAAATCTAAAGTATAACTTTTTAGTGAAAAATATTAGTGCACATACTTATAAATACGTCAAAATGCAATGAAATTCAAACAGACAATTACAAAAACTCAAAATTCATGAAACTTTGGAGAGCTCTTTGCAGGCAAAAAGAGGAAGAAGTGTCTTTTTTTTTTAAACAGAAAAGCGTTGGTCTTTGTGTGCTTAAAGCTACTGTGAAAAGAAAATATGTTAAGCATGCACATAGATGTATCTGTAGAAGTGAAGCCCTCTGCGCTGAGATATCTGTTCAGTTTGGATTTCACTGATGGTGCAAAAGTACTCAGTCATGTTTAGATAAAGGATAGTGAATTGAGAGTTGGATTCATTGTATGGAGTTGGAAGGCTGAAACATTACATGGCAAGTCTTTCAGGATAAAAGAATAGACAGAGATATCTCTTTGCAGGCAGTATCATGCCCTCGTATGTCCTCTTTGAAGCCAAAGTCATAAAAATCTTACTGTTTTAAAAATATATATTTATAAGTATGTCTACTTTTCTCATTTCAGACGTTTTATGTTTCAAACTTGCAGAGCTGTCAAAAGTAGTGGAGCTTTGAGGGAAAAACAGAAATGTATTTCTAACCACTCTTCTCCTTTTAGATTTATATTTCATCATCTTCACTTTTATTCATCCAGAAATACTAAATCATTCCTTGCATTCATTTAGGTAGCGGTTCTACCTGAATTCTGGTTTAACCATGCCAAGTAGCTTTTCAAAAGCAAGAATATTTGTGATTTCTGTAGAAATCCTTGCAAAAGCAAGCAACTCTTCAGAACAATGACTAGCTCAGCTCTGTCTCCAGAATAGTCCAAAGTATTTTATTACCATCAACGGTGTCAGGAGTTGCCAACGACCAGCAACCTTGACCCTAAATAAGATCTGTTAGAAAATAGATGGTGTTCTGCTTGTACCTTTTCTGTTTTATGCCTTTAAGTGTTGATGAAGTGACCTTCCAGCTTTGACAGATGTGTGCTATTTCTTCTTGTGGCATGACTGACACAACTGTAAATGCTCCCCTTTTTTTGGGTGTTTGTTTCCTATCCTTTTTCCTATTTTCTTTTTTTTTTCCTTTTACATATCTTTCTCTTTGGTGTCTGACATCAAGCATCTCTGTTGGTTCCTCCTGACATTTTTCGTTCTCCCATTCTCTTTTTCTGCCTGTTCAGAGAAAACGCTGTACATTGCCCAGGGCATATGTCTGTGGGAGACGCACAAGAGCAACACTTGAAACTGAATTTGTATGTGGTCGTACTAGGAGCAATGCTCTAGGAGTCTGTGTCTGCTTTCTTATTAGCAGCAGCAGTAGGTCTGGGGGTATAAATAGCGCTAGAAACCATGTTTCCCTATTTGTAGGACTTTTCATGGTTTTGAAATTTTCCCCTTTCCAAGGGGAGAGAAAAGATAAAAGAAATTGTTCTGCAAGACCGGAATTTGGACAAAAAAAAATATATTCAAATTAAACACAGTATTTTACTCCCTTGTGTCAATATACTTAATTCTAATTTCAACTTTCTAAACATTCATTATTTTCACAGTTAAATCAGTAAAGTACACAAAGCAATGGACTACTCTTCATAGAAATGGAATGGGTACTGAATTTGACTGATAGCTTAAATGAGTTTTTTCACCATAATCACATCCTTCCTTTAATTTCTTTTTCAACAAACTTTCATCACTCTTCAGAAGAGTAGGCATAGTAGGACAAAGCAAAAGTCAAAGTTCAGATAGGAGATAACTTTTCATGAACGACATGTAGGGATGAAGAGAGGACAACGTAGCATTGCATATCCAAACCATACATACTTGCTCTGAAGCAAAGGAGACATGGGGGTCAAACTTGTTGAACAGCTGTGTAGAAATACACAAAAGACATACACTGAGGAAGACTGTTTCTGAAAGTGCATTTTTGACAGAAATACCCAAAGACAAGCAACTGAAATAATGGAGAATTTTAATTTTCCTGGTAGTTGAAGAAGTAATGTTGGGACACAGGCAAGGCTTCACAATTTCCTGTGACTGACAATGTTATCCATAAATGTTTAAAAAGCTAAGGCAGCCATCGGTTCAGATTTCATTATGGCTAAGGAAATTAGAAGATATTTGGTGTGAAAGTGATTGTGAGATGGTAGCATGCACTGTTTGAAGAAGAGGAAGAAGTGAGAAAAAGAGAATAAGGATAACGGATGTCGATAAAAAGATTGTCCAACTTCACAAGTTTAGAGAACTAGTAGTGCTTTTGGAAAGATAGTATGATGCTGGAAGGATGGCAAAAGAACTGTGGAGTTCTGTGAAGATGAAGGCATAGTAAGGTATTGTTATGGTTCCTATGGGTTATTGTTACAGATGTTGAAATCTGTAGAGAGAAATTCTAGAGAAAAAGTGATGAAAAAAAGGGCTAAGGATGAATGTAAAGATGAAACAAAGTAAATGATTATAAAATGAGGCTGAGTTGCAAAATTACTCATATTAGGGTTGTAAAAAGCAACAAGAAAAGTTTAGGTATAGGAGAAGATAAAGTAAAGTGTAAGTTGATTACTTCGTGGAAAAATAAGCTTTTAATGTTTTTACTGACTCGCTTGATGCTGGCTTTACAGAAACTATTAATTGTAACCTGACTGTTAAAAACACATTGTGGTAATTCCAGTTTATTTAGATAAATCTGAGGTGCTCCAGCAGATGAGAGTCAATATAGAGCAGTGTCGAGTACTTTGCGTATGACTACAAAATGAGGTATAGCTAGTGAGCATCTGCAGGTGCAACTTAGAATCCTTGTGGATAAGAAACATAACTTCAATCAATACTGTTGTGGTCTTGCAGAACAAGTAAATCTAGTCCTCAGATATGTTACTGGAAATATCCTTTATAAGATAAGGGAGGCAATTATGTTGCTCTGCTTGACAACAACTTGGCCTTGTTGGAACAGTATTGCAAGTTTTGGGCAAAACACTTTGAAACAGAACAAGAAACTGCAGAACAATTTTGAAAATCCAGAGGAGTGCACATAGCATGATGAAAGTTCAGTAAAATGTGACCCATGAGGAAAGGTTGAAAGAATTAGGTTTGCCTCCTGTGAAACTCAGAAGATGGAGCAAGGGTATAGCAGTAGAACAGATAAAATTAAAAGAAGAATATGATCACATGTTCACTCTGGAAAGATAAAGGAAATGCAATTTAATCTTCTGCTGTAAAAATTAGATTGTGTATTGGGAAATGGTTTATGATCTAAATATGATAATGAATAGGAACAACTTCCTTGGTTACTTTCTTCCATCTCATCATCTCTCTGTCTTCACACCTGGTTCTGCTATTGTTTTTTATTCTTTGTTTTTCAGCATCCTACTCACATTGTGTAAGTCTGCTAAAGGTTTTCAGATCTCGGTTTGGAAAGACAAATACAACTGTACTATGAACACCACTGGATATTTTCTGATCTGTATCTTTGGTTCTAGGTCTTTCCATCTATCTTTTTTTTTTTCAATATAGATATGGCAGTGACAATTTATACAAATAGTCACTGTGTATACTTCTGATCAAATAATTTATTCAATACTTTTGCTGACAAACATGAAATTTATGGGAACTGTGACTCATATTTTATTTCCAGTCTGCGT